GGAACCGGAGGCAGTAGCAGAACTCAGGTATCCTGGCTCAGCCCAACACACAGCCCCCTGTGCAAGCCTTAGATCAGAGGGTTACTGCTCCACAGCATGAAATTAAGCTAAACATCTGGCTTTAGCAAGAGATGGACTCTTCCTGTTTATCTTCTCCCTCCACTCCATAGAGTTTTCCTGTTTATCCTCCATTCCATTACTTTTCCTGCTTATCCTCTCCCCACATCTCTCTCTTCACATTCAACAAGATATCACACCAAAGCTCCTGACCCAAATCTCTTGCCTGAACACCTAAAGCTGGCTACTTCTTCGGGGTACTGGGTTTATCAGACCATCTTGGGATCTTTATTATCCTTTGTGATATACTGAATACAGGCATTGTACAATCTGTTGCAATCAGACATAACAGATAAATTATTCCTTTCCATATACTATCTCCATCATTTGAAAGGCATCACTTTTTGTATCAGAGAAGGCTCTTCAAGGCCACTGTCTCATCCAGGATGTGGGCCCTTTTGAAGACATGCTTCCCACATCATCATGGAGGCCCATCTGCCACCCAGGCTCTGTCTCATGACTCGAGGGCTAGTGTGCAACAGAAGACTTTGAAAAACTGACCAGAAAAAGCCTACTTAAACCCACCCATCAGCCTCTCTGGTTCAGTCTTCCCATTCACAGAAGATGAACCTCCTGTTTGGGAGCCAGGACTTTATTTCCACCCACAACAGGTATTTTAATTTCAGGAAGATCTCAATAGCATTTTCTCAGTGCAACAAACCAGACAGAACTTCCCCTTTACTAGGATTTCTCTTCTTCCTGTCTCTCTTTCATATCTTTCTTTCTGTTTCTTCTTTCTCTCTCTTTTCATGCTCTCCTTTTTCTTCTTAGGTTTATAAATCCTTAGACTTGTATTATTTACAAATCCTTGCTATTTGGTGACTGGCATGTCACTGTCACATCTGGCCCAAGATACCATAATTTTATTGATGGATTAATTGCTTGGCTGGTTGGCTGAGTGGCCTTTCCGAACATGACGCCTGGTTCAGCCATCCAAGAATCACAGAATGTCTGGGTTAGATACACTGATTCTTAAACTGTAGCTGCACATTAGAAGAGCTTTTATAATATGGAGATTTATAAAATACTGGTGATGGCTTGCAGGAGTCCAGCTCCAGCCAAGGGGTGGGATGCCCGAAGGTGCAGGACGGAGTCGGCGTATGAAGAGACAGGACACGGAGTCAGATGGAGGTGGTCTCTCGACAAAGTGCCGATGACAGCTTTATTTATACCATTTTGCACAAGGATATGATTTTTTATTATTCTGATGATTAATTAGTATAGGCAGTTGGTTAATAAGTATAGGCAAGCTTTTTTCTTTCTTTTACTTTCTAATCTATTCATGGTTGCTCAAGTGTTAGACAGGTGATTGTTTTTCTGTTCCTTGACCGAAACTTTTCCTATCAACATGTACTCTATTGTGTTTTACATTTCTATGCAACGTAGTTTTTAAGTAGTGCATGTGACTGTAGGAGCGTGCAGTATGTAGCAGCGACTATGGAGTCTATCAGCTCAGGGTGAAATACAGCTCAGTGCCACAATTAGCTAGGATTCTTTCCCACAAAAATATTCTTAGAGGCTTTAATAAATTTATAATCAATCTAAAATCATAAACTCATATTTTCACTTTATACCCCTTTATAGGGCACAGTAGGCAGCAAACTAAATTTCCCCGTCTTATCTACATTTTTCTTTCTTCTGTGTGGATACCAAAATCTCCCTTACATATGCTACACAGGTTTCCATGACTCCACCACTGCAGGGACTAAACAAGTTCTTATATGGTGAACAATGCAAGGGCATTCATATCATAGAAACTGTTTCTGTTTTAACTACAAACCTTAAACTATAAACAATCACGCCAAATATAATGTATGATTATTCATTTGATTTTTATACTTTATATGTGAATCTAATAAAATGTTAATGTAGTAGGTAAATGCAAGATATAGATAGAAAGCATAATTTAGAAATGTAAGAAGGCAGGTGTAGATGATCAGGTTTGTGCCTACAGACCAGGTATTAAACCAAGCTGAACAAGGGCAACAAAACATCCACAGGTGTAGAAGATTTCTCTCAAAACTGGGGGGGTGAGGTTTTAAGCCTCACCTCTGTTGGCCCCCTTTTTCTCACCTGATGGCCCCCCTGCGACTGTGCCTGTCTTAGGTTGTTCCTCCCTTGAGGAATCTTACCCATCTCTGGCTAACCAGCCATCTTACGGGGCCATACAGGGAGATGTAAAGCTGGTAAGTGAGAGAGAAGTAATATTCTTTGAAAAGGTTAGTTTTTCACTTCTTTGCAGATTTATGCTCTGTGGCTTCTATGCCCAGCACTTGTTTTGAGGTATCTTTACTTCCTGGAAAATTATGGTACTTGGTAATTTCACATATGAGGCACAAATTCTAGTAAAGGGCCATAGTTAGGAAAGAAGAAAAACAAACTATAGAAGTAGTAGAGGGAAGAAAACATGAGATGATTAATTGTCAACAGGGTTATTCTATTCAATATTTTCTCATGACTGTATTTCTATAAAACTTTCCATCACTAGTTTCACTAGCAAAACAAGGGGGGCCTTCTCAGTGGAAATGGGGTGGTCAATGTTTGACTAACAGCAGATTTCGGTACTTTATGCTAAGATCGCCATTTGGCCCCTGCGTGTTCTATTCTTCAGGAGCACTGTCCTGAAAAGCTTCTGGGAAGTTTATGTTCTCATCTTTTCCGTGCTGCTTAGCAAAGGTTAGTTAGCTTAGTCTTTGGCAACAATGCAAGCAAAAACAAAGCCAATAGTATAATGGAAAATAACAAAATCAAGGTGGGTAATAGAGGGAGCCAGCTGCGAAGGCCCCTGATTTGTGGGGGTCTTCCTCCAGCCTGAGCTTTGCTACACAGCTTGAGTAACATGGCTCCCAGAAATGGCTGGGCCCCACCTTCACAGATTCTGATTTAATTTGGAATTGGGTCCAAAGTCTCTCTGGATGATTCTTGTGGGTATACAGGGTTCAGAATCTCTGGATATATTTAAAATTTTGCTCAAGCAACCACTGATCTGATACTTAAATCCCTTCTATCAGGAAACCTGTAATGATGACTCTTCTAGGGAACCAAGATTCTTGGTAGTATTATCTTCCAGGGTTTACAATCTTCCAGGGTTACAATCTTCCTGGGTTTACAAGTTGCACTGTTACTATACAGGGAAGGAGCAGGGAATGGATAGTAGTAGACCAGAACCTCCCCTCAAAAAGTCAGCAGTGCTTATCTGTGGTGCCCCCCCAACCCCTGCTGTCAGTTGTTCTCAACTGGGGAGATTTGTCCTCCATGTGACATTTGACAATATCTGGAGACGTTTTTGGCTGTTACAACCTGGAGGAGTATTACTGTCACCTAGCAAGCAGAGATCAAGGAGGCAGCTAAACATCCCATAATGCACAGGACAGCACACCCCACACCCCTAACAAAGGAGAATCCAATGCAAAATGTCAATAGCACCATGGCTGAGAAACTCTTTCTGCGAACCTTGCTCTCAGGTTCTCCCAAAGCCCCCAGGAAATATCCTTAATGGAATTAGACCTAACCCTTTTGCTTCTTTCTGAAGCATTATTTCAGCACAGTTTTCAAATCAACATTTTACATTCTTTTCAAGTAGTCCCAGAATGTGATCATTCTGCTTTGCTTTTAAGAAATAAAGGCTGCTGCCTGTGTATGTCAGAGAGGCAGAATAATCCCAGCACTGCCTTTTCCACTTGCTGCTTCCTCTCCCACCTGGCTGCCTCTCTGAAATACAGAAGAGCTGAGCCCCATGACCTAGTGGAGGCCCTCCGCGCCTGACTTGACCAGGTGCAGCAGCCAGTGGAGCAGCCCTCGGGGTGCAAGTCACTCCGTTAGAGGTCCTGCAGCTGCTAGTTTATCAGCTGCCAACCTGGCTGCGTCAGGCGGGCTGCTAAGCTGATTAATAAGTGCTGGGATGACACTTCAAGTAGGGCCCAGATGCTGGTTTTTCTTCCCACTTCCTTAGATCATGTCACTATTAAATTAAAAATTGTTGTGATTTAAACTGAACCATCACGCGGCCTGGGAACAAACGTGGGGTTTGGTGAAGAAACTGAACCTGGTACTGCATTAACTAAATCCAATCTCAGCTGCGTACTTTCTTTCTCTTAAAGAAATAATTCAAAACTCTGAGGGCTGGAAGTAGAAGTAGAACCTTCCTCTGCAGTGTCAGGAGCCCACACAGAGGCTGGCATGCCAGGAAAGGGAGCTGATTATAAATAGCATAAAAAGCAGCATCAGTCAAAACTCACTGATGTGCCTGAGCCAAATGTTAAAAGGAACAAACAGCTTCTGAAATAAGAAGCAATGATCTTTTTCCATTTTTGTAATTTAAAGTGCTAAGGAATGAGCATAGTATATATACATAGAGGCTGCACACACACATACCCTGCATATACACACAGAGCCCAGCTGAGCCCCTTTAAGCAAATGATGGATAATTATTAATTTTTAAATATCAAAATCAAAAGTAGTCAGAGCCTCACAGAGGGAGCAGCTGTCCTTTTTCTGTGTAATCAATGTTATTCATTTACAAAGTCTATGGTTTCCCCTTGTGAAATAATTTTCCTATATGTGTATTTTTTGTCCAGCTTAGATGGAGACCATTTGATATTCCAAAAGCATCTCAGAAGAAAGTGGATTTTGTGACTGTAAGTCAAAACTATCCACACAGTCTCACTGTTCTCCCTCCCATGGCGAGTGATCCAGACAGTTGCAGGTTGAATGCCAAGCAGAAGCCTCCTTAGACACAGGCAGCAGACAGTACCACCTGCCTCTGCACTGGGACTGGCCAAGGGATGCCTTACTTACAGGCACCATGTGGCCCGACTCCAAAGGGCATAGTGAGCTATTCACAACATCTCCCAACAGCCAATGGAAATTGAGCATTTACCTACCTCAGTTTCCTCTGTTTTTGGCTAGAACTGGGGTACTTAGCCTCTTTTCCCCCATTGACTTCTTTGATAGTCTGGTGGAGACTATGTTTCTAAATGCCTGAAAAAAATACATAAAATTACAAAGAAGCTGATTATATTGACAAACAATGCTAAAAATATTAAAATAACAAATTTGGTTTGGTTTATAGTAACATATATGCTTCCTTGTTAATGTGCTAAATCACAAGATCTATGAAAAGATCTAATAACTCTGGTTGTTAGAAGTATATGGGCATAAATGACATTTGGGGATAGCTGTAACAAATGTAATGTAATATAAAAATATCTATCATTTCTATGGATGAAATGTTCCATAGAGTGAAAAGTTCCAGACAGTTCTAATACTGCTGTGGTTTGTTGTTTATATTTATATTAATTGATGGAAATGATAAATTTCAGAGATTAGTAAAAATAAATATATATTTTGTCCCCAAATATATGAGCTTCCCACAATGGACCTCTGGGATAGAAGAGCATCAGCTCAGGGTGGCAACTCTAGTTAATATAATGCTAATCAGAAGTTCTGCTTGATAGTTATAGGGAGTATTAGAACACCTGTGCTCAGAGCAAGGCATATGTAGGGGACAGGGAGAGGAGCTACAAGGAGGTGGGGCTCCAAGAAGCTGGTGGGCGGTTCTGCAGCCCAACCTCAGGTCACAGCTTACTTAGTGAGAGCCCAGGTGCCAAGCCACAGGCCAAACTGTTTGGATCATGCTGATTTCCTTATCCATTTTAAGTACTCCAAACCCTGTGGGGACTCTTCTAAATAGGCCCCAAATTTGCAAATTTAGTTGAAATACAAAAAGAAATCTCCTACTCTGTGTAAATTATGGATGTCTGGAAGAACAGAGCTCCCTCCTTTCAGGCTCTCCATCCACAGGTTTGGGGCTGAGGGCTGTTTTGAGAAGGCCCATGTGTTAAGGTTTCTTGGACGGTGGATTATCAACAGAGAAGATTACAGTTGGTCAGAATGTTTTCCTCTGCCCTATTCTGGAAAGATTAGGGCTGACCCTACTTATAAGGACAGGGCTGCCCAAATAGTGGGGCATATTTTAGGGTCATTAATAGGTCCCTAAGCTGCAACTTTGCTCCATGAGTCTCCAAAAGAAATCCAAAGTGATAAATACCAAAGTGATAAAATGCCAAAGAATGAATTAACAACCTGTAAACTCATCTGATGTAGCTGTTAAGACAACCTAGGTTAGGGCCATGGCTGGCAACTAGGGTGAACCATCACCTACTAAACATAAATCAATAAATTCTGGGCTGACCAGAGGCAGGCTGGATCACAAATATACCACTGGTCTCAGAGGGAAAACCCTAGTAGAACCTTGCCTCATAGCTCTCAGGAGTCAGGAGGGCTGGCCTCTTGGATACCACTCAATTCATCCTTTCCTCTCCTATGGTCTCTCCCATCTCCCAGGGCCTGCACACCTTGTGTGGAGCTGGAGACATCAGGTCTAACAACGGGCTAGCTGTCCACATTTTCCTCTGCAACACCTCCATGGGGAACAGGTAAGTGGCTCAGGGCTGGAACAGGATATTACCAAGGGCTGTTGGCCAGAGGATGAGGGCTGGGTCATTGTTTTGTTATTGTTTTCCCCAGTGCAATGTTGATATACATTTACTACTAAGAATAAATAAGCAATAACTGACTTCTGTGGCATAAACAGGAAGGTCACATAACAATGCAAATAGAAAAGGGTTAATGAGGCACTGGAATGTAGTAGTAGTCCAAGAGGTATTTTGACTTTACCAAGTTTGGGTCAGAATATAACTAATCTCTTAAGTTTCCCCAGGGCTGTTGTTGAGTCTAAAGTCATACTGCATGAGCAGCCACTATGGCCACCAGTTGGTGGCAGGTGAAGCTGTCAGATATTGGCTTCAGCTAATAACTTTGGGTAAGCTTAAAGTTACTACATAGAAGAGCTTATATATTGGATATTTTTTAAACAGAAAAAATACATAAATGGTATTCATGCCTTTTCCAGTGGTTTTGCACACTACTTCTGGAACCAGACTATTGCTTCCAAAGCCCAATTCCACTCTTTCTGGCCGAGATCACAGGCCTATGGCAAGGCACTGGAGACGTCTCTTTGGGACTACCTTCATATCAAGCCACTTCCCATCTCTTCCCTTGAGCCACACTAGCCTATCATGTGTCCTCCTGCTTCAGAGCATTTGCACATGCTGTTCCTTCTACCTGGAGCATTATCTCCCTCCCCAAACCCTCGCCTAGACAGTTCTTTCAGATCTCAGGTCAAATGTCTCTTCTTCAGGGAAGCTTTTGCTCACTCAAGTCCACTATTCTTTCATTCCCCTAAACTTGACTTTTCTTGTGCCATTAGAGTTGGTGATGATGTAGTTCAGTAATTCTTGATTGCTATCTGACTTCCTACTAGACTCTAAGCTGTATGAGGGCAGAGATTGGATTGTTTTGCTCACTATTTTATACTCAGCACTGAGCCTGGCACATAATGGGTACTAAACAATAATTTGTGGAATGAACTAATTTGTCTGAACAGTGCTAAAACTGAAAATCACAGGAATTATTCTATGTTTCAGATGCTTTTACAATTCAGATGGTGACTTCTTGATTGGTAAGTCCTTGAAGATTTCAGACCCCTTTGCTGTGAATTGATCCCTAGTCATAAACTGCTTTTTAACTCCATAAATATTATTTTCCTTCATCCTTCAACCTGTCTTGTTATATCTTCTAGATAGTAAAATAACTAACCTAAGCTGTCAGAATATGCATTTTCCTCCATAAGACTCAATTAAGCTCTTTTCACTGGAATAAAAAAGGAATATAACTTGATAATGGGGGGAATCTAGTAACTACAATGTTGCTCATATAAGTGTATATTAATGACACCAAAATAAAAAATTTAAAAAAAGGAATATAATCCTTAGGCCTTTTACTCTTTGTGAAGTGGTTCTCACATAAAAAGAATTGCTTGCTGTTGTCCTTTCCTTTTTGTTAGTTCCCCAGAAAGGGAAACTTCTCATTTACACCGAGTTTGGCAAGATACTTGTGCAGCCCAATGAGATCTGCGTTATTCAGGTTGGTGATGTGTCCCCCTCTCCTCCCTGCCTTCCCTAATTTTAGAGCAATCCAAAGATGTTGCAGCTGCTGCTATTTCCAACTCTAAAATTTCTCTGTCATGTCTGAGCAAAGGGGAGTAGGGGAATGAGTTTTAGTTATGCAGAAGGTCCCTGGACAGAAGAGTACACAGGCTTGACTGCCTGCTTTGTTTTAAAATAGCACACAATCACAAAGCAAAGAGCATTATCAATTCACTTTCCTAAATATTTTTACACTTGGGATAAGACTGTTTTATGGATGGGAGTGGGGGTGGTGAGGATAGATTTCTTTAAAATTTGACTAAATCAGGGCACTGTTATCTCTGAACCCAATGAGAGATCAGACTAGAATTGGTTTGGGTCACAGATGTGATTAGGTGGTAAATTTTTCTTTCTAACTCATCTCTGAGCTGGTCACCTCTCAAACATAGTTTAACAGACTATATAACTTTACTTTTGTATGTGGGGTAGCTGTGGTTCTGGGGGAGCTTCTTCATAACTATAGATATGATTTGGGAGGGCACACCAGTGTCTGCTTTCTGTTCCAGAGAGGAATGCGGTTCAGTATAGATATCTTCGAGGAGACCAGGGGCTACATCCTGGAGGTCTATGGTGTCCACTTTGAGTTGCCTGACCTGGGACCAATTGGTATGTCCTCACTACAACCCTCTAAGCCTCCCTTGAAATACAGGACACCTGATTGCATGACAGTTAAACATCCTTTTCTTATTATCTCTACAAACTTCAACTTTCCTCTCTAGACAACTTCTTCTCTGGACCGAGTACACTTGGGAATTTCAGAAACCCACTGAAACTCCAAAAGCAATCTCAGACCTTTTTTTTCAGGTCTCTTTAAGTTCAGGGGCTCCATGCAGTATGGCTGACCCATCTGATGAAATGAAATCTTCATTAATATGCTCATCAGTGTATCAGTCCAGTCCAGACTATCAGCTAGTCTCAGCTCCTAAGTTGTGCTGAAGGTAATGAAAAAAAACCTCATCAAGGGTAACACAAGCACCTTCCCATAAATACATGCCTAACAGAAAACACCCAAGCCAACCCATTATGGATTCCTCTGTGAGTAATAGATAAGACTACTGGGGAGCAAGATGGTATGTGGCAGGCTTCTGGCTATACAGTGTACACCCTGAAGGATATAGAAGCTTAGGTTACTGCGGGTTAAGTTACCATTTAAAAACAACTTCACAGAAAGATGAGATTTGACTAATTCTTGATCAAAAGTTGAGGAAAAATTAAGAGGAAAGGAGCAGCTTAATCAAAACATAAAGTGGGAAAGAGCTTTGTGAATAGGAGGGAAGTCATTTTCTTAAGTCAGTGGGTTGTGTGTAGACAATGTACTTGGGAAAGCCATACAAATGGCAGGTGCTTTGTTCCTATGAACTGAGAGACAGGTGTGTCTCTCACATTCCTACTAAGCACACTCCACAAAAGCTACACTCTTAACAGTCAGAAAAGTCTCACAGCTCAGGGCTATGAAGGGGCTGGAAACCACAGCCTCCATGAGGCAGATGACAACTTCCAAAAGTGAATCAAGCCCCCCCCAACCCCTGATTCTTCTGGCAAGCTGGAGGCAGAAGATGTAGGGGAGACATGAAGGTAGTAGAAAGGTTGTTCTTAAAACATCTCTTGGAATGAAAGGAGTGGTTGGGAAAATTGGCCCTTGGTTTCATCTTTGGCATGTTTGCTGAAGGTGGTGGCCACACCTCCCAGTTCTTCCCTTCCTTGTCAACAGCTTTTTTAGAGCAAAACAGGGACAGGCCAGCATGTGCCTCCTGGTCACTCCCCTGGGGGAATCCAAAGAGAGGAAGGTGGGAGGCAGCAGAGAGGCAGCTGGAGCCGTGGTGGGCCGTCTGTCACCGCCCGCTCTTCCCACTTTGGTCTGGCTTCCTGCTGCTCTACAGTCAGAAGAGCCTCCAGGTTCCAGGGAACATGTACACTCTGGAAAATATATATAATTTACTAACCAGCTGGGAGCTCATACTTTTTAGCCCTAGGAGCTGGAAATGATAAAACACTCTCCAGGCCCTCTCCTCTTGGAGTTAAATTATATTTCTGCACTTATGCCTTTCATTTTTGGTCTTTTGATTTATTTCCTTTCTCTGGAGGAACACTCGCTCCTAAGCAAAGGTAGGCAGGCGAGTCCTGCCTGAATACCTTTTCCCTGAGTGGCAGACAGATTAGTCAGGCTAGAGAGCAATTTTACAGACTTGGGTTGACTCTGAGTTCTGCCGGAGAAGTGGAGGCATGTCTAGGGCAAGGGTATGTAGCCCTTCCTTTCTGACACCAAGGACTGTAGAGGAGTTCAGGAGTCATCAGGATTTTCTTAGAAAAAAGGTCCGTCTTCTTCCAGATCTTCCCTTTTATGCTTTTCTAGTCTTTTCCTCTTCTCCCCTCCTCTCACCTGTAGCAATGCAATAATGCATGTAACTTGGTTTATAAACCTATTCACTCTACAACGTTAGAAGGTGATGCTGGCAATGAGGATGAGGATGATCTTCATGATTTTTTTTACTGACCAAATTCCTCATAAGAAGTACCAGATTGGAATTTCAATGAGCTTTTTTGAACAATGAAAGCAAATTATGGAGTGGCTCTTGACATGAAACTGTGGGCGTCTTTCCTTTGTGATTAAAAAGTGTCTAAAATACTTCTGGGTCATTGTGTTTTAGGAGCCAATGGCTTGGCCAATCCTCGTGATTTCTTGATACCCGTTGCATGGTATGAAGATCGCCAGGTGCCAGGTGGCTACACTGTGATTAATAAATACCAGGGCAAGCTATTTGCTGCCAAACAGGTAAAGTAAGAGGATCAGCAGACAGGGAGGGAATGAATAATTATTGACCACCTACTGATTGCCAAGGCCAATGTTAAGAACTTCACATATATTATATCCTTTCATCTTTACCATACCACTAAGATACTACAAATAAAGTATTATTTGCTTTATTTGTAGTCATGAAAACAAGCCAGGTAGTGACAAGTAATTTCCAAATGTCACAGTCAATGGCAGAACCAGCATTCAAACCCATATCTGTCTGACTCCAAAGGTCATGCTCTTTGCACTCACCAAGCAATGAAATCCTGGCAATAGGTATGTCTCCATAAATGGTGTGGAAAGCATAATATACAGGCAGGATAATATGTTCTGAAAAGAGAATAGTTGACAAGCAGATTATCTAAGGTTTATATTCACCAGTGGCCAACATATTTAAAATTCAAGCAATGACTGATACAAAGCAAGTAGAATTCAGTTAATTAGCTGCACTTGTTTATACCACCAGCCTTATAAACCCAGGAGATTAGCAAAGGCATAGGTAATAATAATAATATAACATGTAATCTATAAAAAAATTAGCATATATTACATCATTTAACATACTGAATACATAATATATTAGCATAAAGTATCATGTAAAAGTAATCCAAAGAACTCTTCTGTTTACCATTATTTGTTTGCTTTATTTTTGTCCATTTGATTTATTGTTATATTTTGCCAAGGTATGTTATTTTCCTTGGACAGCATCTGGAAGGTATGCTAACCAGTAGAAGTTAAATAATGTAGCACTTAAAATTAATCTCTGAGAGTTAATTGTAACCATCATTGATACATTATCATTCATATTCTCTGGGTCAGAGACCATTTGCATAAGAAATTCTGAGGGAGGCTTGTTTAAAATGCAGATCCTTAGATTCTACTCCAGCCTGGCAAAAATGATAACCTCTGGGGATGGGGCATGAAAACCCACATGGAGCTCTTTGAGAACTTCTTGCCCTCCCGCACTCACCAAAACCAGGGACTGTGTCTACCAGAGGCTCCGGGCAGTGACTACCTGGAGAGCAGTCACAGCAAGTGCCTGCCTTCCACACCAGGAATCCCAGATGGTGGCCCAGATTATCTGAGAACTGATGACATCCACAGAGTCTCAGAATTGTGTTTAAAATTGTTGAAAAGGCACTACTTGGAGAATGTGCTGTGCTTCTGCTGCACCTGTGATCAGAAGCAGCTGCAGCTTATGAACTGGAGAAATAGGGTTTGTGGCTTAGCAAGGGACAGTCTGAGGGCATGGGAGGCAACCACAAACTGATTCAGGGTTATGCTGCTCCCAAAGGATGGTGTTATTAAATTATGAGAACAAAATCAAATAAAAAGAGACAGTGATGCCAAGTACAAACTGTAGACTCACAGCTATAAAAGCATTTGGTGCCAAGATCCTCCTTTCTTGCTTTTTTTTGTGATCAGGATGTGTCCCCGTTCAATGTTGTGGCCTGGCATGGGAACTATACCCCATACAAGTACAGCTTGAAGAACTTCATGGTCATCAACTCAGTGGCCTTTGACCACGCAGTAAGTCTGCACCATGGAGAAGCCCTGGGGATAGGGCAACCCTTGGGTGGGAGTGGTCCACAGTAGACCCCTGACCTTCAGATTTAACATTCCCAGTGTCACCCTTGGAAGCCTGAGATATTGTCCTTTGACATTGTGCTGACAGGAATTGGGGTCATCTATAGCAAGAGTTCTATAGCTCAGTTCTCCACACAGAGTATTTACAGCAAGTCTCATAGGTAGCTAAAAGCTTAACTCCTTCTTGGAAAATGTATCCCAAAAAGTAAGCCAACTGCTAGTGTTAGTGGTGGAGTGATGAAAGAGGAACATTTCTGGATTTGGAAAGTCCTCTGTCCTGCTCACAAATGCCAAGAGTCTACTTGCTCTGGCTGCCTACTCCACTGCCTCCAGTCCTGGCTGTTTTTAGCAGTGATGAGGCAGACAGCCCTCTTCTAAAGTTCCTCACATGTTCAGTGCTTGAATTTAAACTACAGAAATTCTAAAGTATGAACTCGGTCACATTTATCACTCAATTAGGGGGCTACAGCTAGGTCCCTGGTCTACAGTGCAGGCCCCCAAGGCCCCACATTTGTGATAAAGTGCTTATTCTGAGATCCTGGGGAAAAGTTTGTTTTGCAGCCTAGTTCACAATAGATTAACTTAATCTACAAGCTGGAGGGATAATTAGAGAGAAGCCAGAGACAAAGACAGAAAAATTTCTCTGAACCAGTTCAGCTTATCTCTAGGGGGGACAAAAATACCTTTCTGAAGAGCAACAACTCTTAATAAAACTAAACTAAACAGGAAAAAAAAATGAGGCATCAAGCCCAAAGCAGCATGACAAAGGACCTGAGACACTGATAGAGCTGTATTTTAGTCTCATCACCTTTTCTTTAACAGTTTCAGGTCATTTCTCATGACAGATAAGATGCTGGCTCTCACAGCAATAAGAGTTGGTTTCTCACTTGCATTTACACATGTTCAATCTCCTCTGCCTTGATGCCATAGGTAGTTTTTCAAAATTCAGGTCTGAATATTCTACCCTGCATTAGAAAACCTTTGCAGGCTCCCTGTGGTTTAGGATTAAGTCTGAGCTCTGAAGCGTGGTATCTGTGCTCTTCACCATCTGGCCCTGGACTCATTTTTCAGCACCACCTCTCACCCCTCTCCCTTCTGCCAATGTACTCTGGGCTTTAGCTTTCTTGCCTCCTGACAAAATCCCTGTGCATTTTGATGTCTTCCCTGTTTTCTGGGCTTAAAATGCCTTTTCCTTTCTTTCCTTCCTTCCTTTCTTCTTTTCTTCTCCCCACTCTCCCTCCCTCTCTCTATCTCCTTTCATTTTTCAGGATCTACCTCAAATGTCACCTCCTCTTTAAAGCCTTCTCTGATCCTCCAAAGCAGAGCCACTATCTCTACTCCCTTGGATCTGTATTTATAAAGCTAGATTGCCCTTCGTCCTTTGCAGTGATTAGTTATTCATGCACCCGTGTTATTACTCCTTCAGTCCTCCCCCCTCAGTGTGAAAGGGACAAGGAATAGATCTCAATTGTTAAATCCCAGACCCTTGCATGGCATTTGAAAGCAAACATAATCACTAAACTGAAACTCAATCTTTTCACTGAAGGATTCTAAAGTGCTTTTAAAATCATATTGTGCCCTAATCCATTACTTCTATGCTACCAAACTAGTGATATAAGTGATATATTTTAGACCTGAGAGTCAAACAAGGGTAAGAAAGCAATGGGGTGTCATCTAGAGTCTCTATGATTCTCCCAAAGAGAAGCACATCCTATATCTATACCAAAAATTGGATATTATTCTATTTCCTTTTTAATCCAAACATCCCTCCTGCCACAAGCTCTCTGTGGCACATCCCAGCTCTAGTCACCCCAACCTGAGGGTGGAATGCAGGCACCACTGGGTGGTACTTAGATGAAATGGGGCTCAGCAGGGTGAAGAAGCAGCTCAGAATCCTCTTGGCTGGTGTTAATTCAATTTGCTTCAAGCACAGCAAGAGAGGAAAGTCAGATGAAAGATAACTGCACTTCAGTGACAAGCCTAGACTTCTTATCCTGGCCTGTGTGGTTTGATCAGAAATCAGAATGTGGGGGACACGTGTCACTGCCCAGCCACCTCCCTTCCATCATGTGTTCAGCCTCCCCTTGTGCTTTCACAGGACCCATCCATTTTCACAGTATTGACTGCCAAGTCTGTCCACCCTGGGGTGGCCATCGCTGATTTTGTCATCTTCCCACCTCGATGGGGGGTTGCTGATGGGACCTTCAGGCCTCCTTATTACCACAGTAAGTCTCTCCTTTACCAAGCCACGTTTGGAAACCAAAGAGACAGCAAAGGGGTGAGTGTTACCCATTGGAAACACTTCCATGGTGCTTCTGGACACCCTGCTCTGGCTGGAGTTCAGGATCCTGCCTCCCAAGGTCGAGGGCTGCTCCCCAGACTTCCAGCCACTTAAAGACCATGACTTCCGCAGGGGGTGATTATGATATGCTGACTCTGAGAAGGAAATACCGTGTAAGGCCTAGAGCCCAGTTCCAGGCAGAAAGGCTAGTTAAATGTGAAGCAAGAATTTTTTTTACATTTCAGATGCTTCTTTTGGGGAGGAGGAACAGTGGGATGCTATTGTTCAGCTTTTTGTATTTGGACCGTTCATTACCTGTGCCTGGTTCAAGAGCCAGTAAAACGTGCCATCTCCAATGATTTTGGTGGAGTAAAGCAGACTGTAGTCCACACTAGGGATGAACCCTATTCTGGAAGCAGTTTCTGCAGAACATTTGTTGCCTAGAACAGAACTTAAATGACCTATTACTTTTATTCTATTAATATTATTATTACTAACGGCCAGGAATTACTGACCATTTTCTAAGGCTCTCTTTCAAGCTCTTTAAAGGTATTAACCTATTTAATCTTCATAACAGTTGTAAGAGATAGGTAGTATCATATCCCCCGCCCTTTTTTTTTTTTCAGAAAATGAAACGGAGACAGGAATGATTAAGTAGCTTGCTCAAGGCCTCACAGCTAGTTAAGTGGTGGAGTCAGGATTTAATTGAAGGTGGTCTGATGCCAGAACAGACACTGGTGACCACTAACTAGCACAGTACCCATACATGATGGGCATCTAATAAATGTGTATTTAACAAGTGAATGCATCACCAAGAATGAATAAGGCATTTCATAGCTGACATGAAGTTGGCATTTTTAATTGTGCTGTATGTAGCACAGCTATAAATTCAGCCTAAAGGTCAAGGTACTATTGCACCTCTTGGAGATTGCATTTTTGTACTTACAGTTCTGGAAAAACTATGAGGTGCATTTCAGCTGGAACATTCTTAAAAACTAACCCCTTTACTTAGTTAACCTCAGGGCCTTCTGCTTATATGAAGCTCCTCTCTCTGTGTGTCAGCTCCCAGGAGCCAGGGCTCAACAGGATAGAACAGTGCACTGAATGGGCCATTTAGGCACTTGCAGAGGGTGTAGAACTAAGGGCCTCAGGATGGGAAGAAGACTACCTCATGGCCAAATTCCAGCCCCACCTTTTTCAGATGACACCATTATGATGGAGAAAAGGAAACAATCAGTTACCACTACAAAGATACCAGGTAGTTTGTGAATAGAGTCATAAGAAACTACATCCTTTCTGAAGATTGTCAAGCCCATCACAGGCCCCAACTTCTCCTCCTCGAAGTTGGTCCCTAGAGGACCTATTATCAAGGAGAGAGAATTGTTCTGGTTTATAGCCTGTACCTCACATGCTAGTCCTAATAATTTGCAATTTCACACAGTTCTCGTATTGAGGTGGCTCTATGTGTCCATAGTGGTTTCCAAATATTAGTATGTGTCAGTGTCACCTACAGGACTGTTAAAATACAGACTCCTAGGTCCCATCCTCAAAATTTCTGCTGCAGTAGGTTCA